ATGCCAGACAGTGGGGAACCCGAATCAAAAGAGTCGACCTTTGCCTTTGTGCCCAACTCCGGTGGTCTCCACTCCATTCGATCATATAGATATAGATTGGGGTTTATCCCAGTGAATGAGAGGGTAGCCTCCCACCGCCTACGTGTGGGGGAACGGGTTCTGACTGTGGTCTGTGCTTATGCACCAAACTACAGTTCATATTACCCACCCTTTTTGGAGACCTTGGAGGGGGTGCTGGAAAGCTCTCCTTCCGGTGACTCCCGCGTTCTGCTGGGGGACTTTAACGCTCAGGTGGACAATGACAGTGAGACCTGGTGAGGTGTGTTTGGGAGGAACGGCCCCCCGATCTGAATTTGAGTGGTGTTTTGTTATTGGACTTCTGTGCCAGTCATGGATTGTCCATAATGAACACCATGTTCAGACATAAAGGTGTCCATATGTGCTCTTGGCACCAGGATACCTTAGGCCGTAGCTCGATGATCGACTTTGTTGTTGTTTCATCTGACCTGTGACCGCATGTTTTGGACACTCGGGTGAAGAGAGGGGCGGAGCTGTCAACTGAGAGAAGCTAAGAGGCTTAATCCACGACAGTACAAGTGGTCTCTTTTCTTCTCACGTTTCAATTTCCAGATTTCTTACCGCCCTGGGTCTAAGAACACCAAAGCACCCTCTCCAGGTTGTACGCTCCAGATCAGGAGGTTGAGCCCTCCACAATTCTCCCCCCAGCATGTGTGGTGGGAGGAGTCACGTGGGAGATTTGGGATCAGGTGCTGGAGGCTCTTGAGACTGACTCTGGTCCAGGTAAGGGTCCGTCTGGCTGGCTTTATGTGCCACAAGGCTTAAGGGGCAAAGTCATCCTTTGGGCACTCACCGGCAGGTTTTCCCTGCACCCAGGTGCAGGTCGTACCATTGCCCTGTTGAAATGAACTTTCAGGTGGCCTGTCATGTACAAGGACGTGAAGGACTACATCACAGCGTGCCACGTGTGTGCCCAAAAGAAGGGGGACCACCTGTCTCCAGCAGGTTTATTAAACCCCCTTCTGACTCCATCACACCCCTGGTCACATATAGCCCTGGATTTCGTCTGCGGATTACCTGATTCCCATGGTTTTTCCACCATCCTCACCATAGTGGACAGGTTTTCAAAGGCTTGCCACCTCATACCCCTAAAAGCTCTCCCTTCTTCCTCTATTACCACTAAGCTCCTCGTTAAGCATGTGTTCAGGTTACATGGGATTCCAGAGGAGATTCTCTTGGACTGAGGACCCCAATTCATCTCCAGAGTGTGGAAGGAATTTGTCGAGGCTCTGGGAGCTAAGGTCTCCCTCACTTCCGGATATCACCTGCAGATGAATGGACAATGCAAGCGCATGAACCAGGAGCTCGGGGCCATGCTGTGCTGCGCCTGCTCCTCACACCCATCCTCTGAGAGCTCCCACCTCGCCTGGGTGGAGTACGCCCACAACTGCCAAGTTTCAAACGCTACAGGTCAATCCCCATTTGAAGCCTCTCTTGGTTACCAGCCATCCCTGTTTCCCCAGCAGTCCTCGGCCCCAACTTCGATCCCTCAGTTTCTCCGGGGGCCAGACGGGCATGGTCGTCCACCCGAGCCGCGCTTGACAAAACGGCTGACAGGAACAAGCAGCTGGCGGACCGCCGGCGACGTCCGGCCCCGGATTACGCTCCTGGTCAGGAAGTATGGCTCTCGTCTAAGGAAACCCATTGAAGGCCACCTCCCGTAAGTTCACTCCCTGATTCATAGGTCCGTTTAAGATCCTGGAGGTCCCCACTTCCTCCACCGTTCGACTGGAGCTCCCACGCTCTCTCAAAGTTCACCCGGTCTTCCACGTGTCCCTGGTCAAGCCTGTTGGTTCTAGTCCCCTCTGTCCCGTGCCAGCTCCCCCGCCACCTGCAAGATACCACAAGGGGGGCCTGGTTTACACCGTCCGCAGGATACTGGATTCTCGACGCCGCGGCACCAAGTGCCTGGTCGATTGGGAGGGGAACGGCCCGGAGGAGCGTTCCTGGGCCCCTCGCTCCTTCATTGAGGATCCGTCCCTGATCCGAGACTACAAGGTTACATCTGATGGGACGCCAGGTGGTGTCCGTTGAGGGGGGGTACTGTCATGTGCCGGGGTGAGTACTCCTCTCATTGTTTCCATCTTTGAGCTGCTGTGTTTCAGGAGAGGGAGGCTCCAGCTGCAGCTCATTGACAATCAGCGGGTCCAGCTATAAGAGGAGGAGGAGAACACAACTCGACTCTGGATGAGTAACTACAACTTGGTAGTTCCTGCCCTTTGTAACTCCTGGTTAAACTCTAGTGATTTTTGGAATTTTTATTCTCTGTGGATTTACCCTGCTTACCTGTTCCTAGGTTTTTGGATCGTTGTGGACCTTACCTTGACTCCTCAGGATACTCCTTGGACTTCTGAAGCTCCTCTGGTTCTCCTGTGGCTCCCCTGTTACCTTTCCACAGTCCCGCTGGATTACTCACCTCCGCAGGATTACTCACCTGTTCTTCATAAATCTTCTGGACGCAGCACTCACTGTTCTTCCCTCCCTGCCGGCCCGCTCTCCTGCTCTCCCTCTCCTGGACACCCCCCTTCCTGGATTCACCCCGGCACTCCACCTACCCTCCCTAACTCCTCAGCTCCCAGTTCCCTGTAATGGCCGATTTATGCTTCTCCGTCTGCGTCAGTGCGGAGACACTAAACACCATTATCCGTCCTTGCGTAGGGCTCCGACAGGCACGCAAGTACGTACAGAGTCGAGCCCACTTTTTTAAACATCCGTCAAACGAGACGGATTACGCAAGCTTGTGATTGGTCAGGACGCCGCTGTTGTTTACAGCGCCGCCATTGCAAAAAGAGCTGAGGCTAACTAGCGGCAGACACGGAGAAGCTTGAAGAATACATCGCGAAAAAACTCTAAAAATATGAACGTTTTATCCTCCCATGACTGGAGGAGTGAAAAGATGCGCAGCAAGCGTTTTATTTGTGGACGGAAATTACAGGAAATGTGGGTTTAGAGGTGGGGAGCGCATGAAGAGGTGGGAGAATGAGAGGCAAATATGTCCATGTTAAAAGTCTCTTATATACACAAAAACACAATATAAACACACGATCTTGGACCAATACATGACAGGATACCACAGAACAGTGCTACGCCCTCTGTTGTCCTACCGGGCAATTGCTTTGCAACACTCTCCAGGAGACGGAGAAGTATGAGAGCAAAACGCTTCCGTCAATCCGTGCGTGTCTGTCCCTTGCGGAGCTGACGGAGAAGCATAAACCAGGCTTTAGTCTTGACTCTGCACCTAACTAGTTTTGACTTACTTCCCTGTACTCACCTGCTCCTCTGCTCTCCCCTCCTCAGACGCTGCAGTTCTGTTACAATCCACTGGACCTTAACCAGTGCGTCCTCAGTTCCTGATTATTTTTAATAAAGAAACTTTATTTTTTACCTGTTTGGTGCGCGAGTGGTGATTCTGCAAGTCTTGGGTTAAACTCGTCCCCAATACCATGTCAATAAGGGAGAAGGAAGTAATATTATGGCTTATTCTTCCTGGTGGCAAGGCTCGGGAAGGTAAACAGAGGAACACAGCATTCCTGGCAGAAGAAACTGCTGGGCATTTCCATGTTTCCATGTCTGAGGAGCTCTGGCCACTGTAAGGGCAGGTTGTTGACCTTGTTGGCCTTCTCCAACGTTACAAGATCAACAACAACAAAAAACCCAGCTTCATGTCATAATTACCTGATAGCTTTGGTGAAATTTATAATTAAATCACATTACTTGGAAATAGCATTCAAGATTTTGGAGCTGTTCTGTGGGCTCAGGGTTGTTTTCAACAGTCTGATGGAAACAGGAGTGTCTGGCACTGTTTAATGTTTAAATAACAGAAGGTTTCAAATCCATTAATGCCCTTTGATTTGATCATGACCTTACATATCAGGAAGTTAAAGCAGGGATTAGATAAATCAGGTTTGAGCTCTATGCTGTCAGTGATTTTAATCCAATCTCTACAGAGTTCCCCGGGATAAACCCAAATCATTCACCATATGGCTGAGTGATTAAACAAAAGACAACGCTTACAAACCTCGCTCAAGGTCTCTCTCTCTCTCTCTCTCTCTCTCTCTCTCTCTCTCTCTCTCTCTCTCTCTGTGTGTGTGTGCATTAAAGAGAAGACCAATAACAACATTTTTACCTGCAAACTGAGGACATTAGTACCAAAGTGAGGACATTTTGCTGGTCCTCACTCTGCTACAATGTTACAGAGCTCTATTGGTTAGTTTTAGAGGTATGGTGCAGTTAAGGTAAGGAAGGGTTAGGCAAAGACTAGTTATGGTTATAGATAGGCTCAATCCAGCCACTAAAATTAATGGAAGTCAATGATGCCCTCACCACAAATGGTAGATGTGTGTGTGTGTGTGTGTGTGTGTGTGCGCATTTTCTTTTCCTTTTTGGAGGCTGCTGATAATAATGGTTTTTATTTTGGGGATGCCTGACTGGAAGGGCCAGACAGGCAGTGACAGGTTGTGCATTCCTGGTGCAGAAAATATTCATGCGCAGGTCTGGTGTGGATGCTGAATCTAAGTGACAGATACTATATCTGGACTGAGGCCTTTATGTGGGCCACTAGGTAGAGTTCCACAGGCAGCAGAGGGTGTCACTGCAGTGCTGCTGCAAAAGCCTCTTTTTAAACCAACCAATGATGCAAATGCAAAAATGTTTGACTGTAAAAGGAATGGACCAAAGAATGTGAAGATAAGATGCCCCCCCCCCCCCACACACACACACTAAACCAAGAGGGGGGGGGGGGGTGCTCCAGTCTAAATGTTATCCAGACATAGGGGCAGGATCCACATCTCCTCCAACTAAGGTGAACTAGCTGCTGTTATTTTTAAGGCAGTCAGGTGTTGCCTCCTCCATCACGCCCTCCTTCCCTGTCGCCCCCCCCCTCCCCCATCAGCACCGGTCCTCCAGCCCTTCACACCAGCAGAGCCACAGAACAGAAGGAGGTCCTGCATCAAGCTCGTTCTTTCCTGTTAAACTCCAGCTCTGCCTCCTGTCTCTGTCACATAAAGAGGCAGATTTTTATCAGTAAACAGAAATAAAGCGGCTCGGCTGTGCGTTTCCCCCCTCACCCTGCACCTTTAAGGCAATGGACATGGACAAAAGCGTCTGCGGAGGAGGAGGAGAGGGTTTATTCCACAGAGCTCGGAGGCAGGGCAGGTTCTGAGCGCACGGACCACAGTGCACAGTGTGTGTGTGTGCGGCTGCTTGGGGAGAAGATGCGCGTGCTTGTTGCTGGCCGGACGGAGAACGGTGGAGGAGACAGAATGAGTTTCCAGTGCAGCTAACGATCAACTCCACGTGCTTTTCAGTTCTGCAAAAACCCAACTTTCCAGTGTTTCCCCTCGCTATCTGAGATGACCCGACGGGCTCCAGACGTCTAATTCTTCACCACTTCCTTTATTTGGAGCCTTTTGGGTGTTGTGCCTTATTGTTGGGAGTCGGTGCACCGTGGAGTTGGCTGTGCGCAAAACGCGGCTTGTCCTCTGCGTCTCTGACTCAGCAGCTCAGCTCACCTGGACCGGAGCGCACCGAGCCCAGTTCCCTGATGATCCACACAGATTGGCGCTCCGGTGCGGAGGGACGGCTGCTCTGACGCCCTGACAGCCGGAACGGATGCGGATCATCTCCCGTTGAACCGGGAGACAATCAGAAGCAGGAAGACGCGCCGACCTCCTCCTCTTCATCTTCTCCTGTGGACTGAGAGAGGGAGACAGACAGAGACAGAGAGAGAGAGAGAGAGGCCGAGAGGGGGAGAGAAAGGGGAGAAACTCGCAGCCTCCGCGTTCTTTCATCGCAGCTGACTTGTTGAAGAAATAAAAAGGAGGAATAAGAAGGGAGCGCGCAGGGAGAGCAGAAGAAAACGCATAGGATTGGGTATTGAACGGAGCGGGGCATGTGGATATTGGCTCTTATCTTTTCCCAGTGCATCCTGAATGGTGAGTGCTGCACAACTCTTAAGTTTGGCTTGATTATTAGAGCGGACCGGGGTTCGGGTCGACCCGGACGCGCAGGGAGCGGGTCTGCAGTGAGGTTGGGAGTTATTTATTTATCTAGTTAGTAGCTGGAGAACGGAACGGAGCAGGCTGTTGCTGCGTCCTCCGGTCGGAGGCTCAATCCGCAAGAAGCTCCGTGAACCTCCAGAATCAAATGTTGTATTATTTAAATAGAAAATTCCAGAAAGTCCCATTGGATCCAGACATGGAGCGCTCCGGAGAGGGGCCAGGCGGTGGAGATGGCTGCAGCCCGAGCTGCTCTTTAATCTAAAATAAATGCTTTATTTCCATATTTCATTTCTAAAAATAATTTTAAACATCGTCACACAATTATTTAGCTCCACTTTCCGCAGATTTTTATACAACATTGATTATTTTTAGCATCAAACATAGCAGGGCCTCAATCTGTGGAATTTATTTTCATTTAGGAATTAATAATGATCACATTATCAATAATTTATCATTTTAATGCAACCAATCATTGATGATCTTTTAATAAACAGTTTAGTCTGAAGACATTTCCATGTTTACAGGTGTAGTCAGATTTATTTAAACCCCAGTCACTCGTTTAAATTACATTCATACTAAAACAATTATTTCCTTCATCAAATTCAGACAGTTATGTTGATTTAATATTCAGAAATGTTGCCCATAAACATTTGATGTTGTTGATGAAATTAACTTAATCCCCTGTTTGGTTTCTTATGAAAAAGCCCATCAAGACCTGGAGATCTGGATTTATTTACACCAAAACTGCAGCTTTGATTGTTTTCTGCCAGATTCCCTGAGAATCTTTAAGTAAAAGGATTAAATAGGATGGCTGCTCTTTTTTTCTGGCAGTACACCGGCCATATTAGAAGCACAGGCATGGAGTCATTTTGGATTGGAAAAAATAAGGCGACAAGCCCTTATAACCCTGTGAGTCCGAAGCCACCACCAGGAACCCACAACTCATCCGAAACACGCTCATAAGAAGCTTTTGTGTTTTTATTGGACCTAAGGTGGCTGGTTTTATACAGCCAAGACAGGAACTGAGACGGGTGGGAGCAGTAAGGAGGACAAGGCGCCGTGGGCTAGAGGGTCGGATGTGTTGGGGGTGCAGATTTCAGCCAGAAAGAAAATGAGATATTTTAAAGTTGCCCTGAAAGGTTTGGATGGGGTAGAAGTGGACTCAATGTGAGCTGAAATCAGAGGACGATGCGTCAAACGAAGACGAAAAGAAAACCATTTTGTAGCCTTTGTGCTGGGGGGTGGAGGGCTCTGGGGAGATGGGATTGCTGTAGGAGAAACACAAATGTACTGGACAAACACAAGAACATTTGTAGAAACAAAGAGGACAGAAATGCTGACTCCAGATCAGTGTTTGTTGAGCCGAATCCTTGCTGGTGAATGTCTCTCTCCGCCTCTTTGGTCCACAACACAGCACTGCAAAATGGCTGCTGCTACAGACATCTACATGGAACTTTGAATGGCAGCAACAGCTTGTGATGTAAACGTTGATCGTGCCTCGAGACGGCTCTGTAGACGCTTCATGACAAACCCCCTCTGCGTTTATTTACTCTGCTGAATAAAAGGGTGGCTGCAGAAACACACAATTGTTCCTGCTGCGTTTTCGGTCTTGATTGGAGCTGCAGAGATCTGAAGAGCACCTTTAAATGAAAATTGTTGTTTTAACCAATTGTTCATGTAGTTCATCTTGTGGGCAGAGGGATGCAGAATGAGAGGCATGGTCCAGTGCAGGCTGCTGAGTTTGTCTCCATGGAGACCCAGGTAATGAGTGCTGCTGCAGTGTGGGCTTTAGGCATGAGCGACACCAAACTGACCCCATCAATGCTCCCCTTGTAACACCAAGATGGCTGCATGTCATTTATATTTGGTTTAGGTGTGTTCTGTTCCGGCTTTGTGTTTCTAAAAGCAGAGTCCACACATTACTGCTGCAGAGCCCCTCTGAGAGCGACACCCCTCATGCAGACTTCCTTTTTTTGCTCTCCCAGTTTGAGGACACAAGCTCATCTCCAACAAATACAAACAATCACTGGCTGCAGAGCGAATCAGCTGTGGAGTTCTCTTCAGTCTCTGAAGTACTCTCCCCAAAGTGTCTATTAAAACCTGAATGGAACAGGAGCAACACACTCCAGTTATTAGTGGATGGAGTTAGGGAGGTGGCATAATGTTGTTTTTAGTTAGCTACACAGGGAGTGTGTGTGTGTGTTTGTGTTGGGGGGGGGGGGGGGGGGTCAATACAGGCGCTACTGGACACTAATAGGCTCATGAAATATACAGTACTGCTTGTCAGTTGGCTCTAAACACACTGACGTATTTTTAGCTTTTAGCTTTAGGATGGCAGCTGGAGAAGACATTAAAACTGGCATGAGGACCGGAGATGGGGGGATGGGGTGTCTTCACAGTAAGTATAAAATAAATATATATAAAGCTGCAGCCTAGAGGCTCTTTTATGCAATATCAGCAATGCAGAACTGTCACGAACACAGGTGGCAGGAACGACCAATCACACGTTAGCAAGTATCAGCAGAGCCAATAGATGAGCTTCTGGACGGTTCTAATGGGAAACAGGCTTCAATCCAAGAGGTTTTTTCCCACTTGGTACTAGTGCTCCACCAGTGTCTGTGTTACATGGAGTAACATTGTTTTTGGAGGGTAAAAAGTGCAGGGGACGAAAATTGAATTTGGAAAAAGTGTCTGTGGAGGGGGGGGGGGACTATGTCTATGATTTATTATAACTCCGGTTTAACGTGGGCTGTTAACTGGAATAAAAACTAGTGTGTAGTTTATAATCCACATTTTAAACATAAAATTAAACCAAAGCTCAGAGAGGCGGAGTCTTGCTGCTGCAGAGTCCCAAAGGTGTGTTTTCATTGGTCGATTGCAGATGAGAGTCATAGGTTTTCAAGCAGTGTTTGAAGACTTTTTGAGGCTGATTTGGTCGGGACACGACTCAGAAAGCCGTCACAGAGCCGGTCACACTGTACGTTCACAGCATGGTGCACATATATGCAAATCACCCTGACGTTGACGCTTTTGTCACGATTATGCTCAAAGATTATGCACGAGGAGTTTGGCAAAAACGGCTAAAAATCACACAGTGTGATCCCGGCAGTAACAACGAATGGCCATTAGGGTCAAAAATCCTTCGGAGTGGAAGCTCCAGCAAAATAATAAGAACATCAGATTTCCTTTCATCACTTGCAAGAGTGAAGAGGTAAATGTGTAAAAGAATGTTTATTAAAAATGTGTTGTGATGATTACTGCGACAAAAGAGGATAGGAAGATGATCTTTCCATCTTTTTATTTGACAAACCAAGTCCTGGAAGTGGCGGATAAAGTAAAAGTGACAATTTTTGTTCTTTACGTCCCGACTGTTGCGTATCTATAGCAAGGCAGCTATAAAAAATTACAAGTGGCTTATCAGGACTCTTTTAGAATCCTCCTGAGGCTCCCATGATGGACCTCGGCAAGCCAAATGTTTGTCTCAACTAATGTCCCCACTTTTCATGCACTATTGCGTAAATACATGTATAAGTTCATGTGCCATTTAAACACTGTTATCAGTGCCTTGTCAAGTATTGCATGCAGTGACACAAGGTATTCCTCTGGCTTTTTTAAATATTGGAACAACTGCTTGTATGGGGTGTGATTGAAATATGTTTATAAACTTGTATTATCCGCTGTACACATTTTGTGCTCTTCTTTGTTGATTTCAAGCCTCTTGCATTAAAGATAATGTTGGCACAGGAACAAGTAGGTGACTGAAGTTACCAAGAGTTCTTGCTCAAGTGCTGATGCAGTGGACTGATGACTTCTGTCGAAGAGGTACAAACACTTTCATAGAACAGGACAAACATTACACAGTCGTGGACAATATGCATGAAGTACCAACTCTGGTTTCAGGGTTAAGTGTTACATTATCTCAGTTAAGTGGTGGCTTGGGGGGGGGGGGCTTCCATCAAACTCTTGTGACCTTAGAGGACAAAAATGTCCGCTTGTAAATGTAGCTATGACAATGTATACATTCAAATGTTTTTTTTCTCACAGAGCTGAGTCCTGCTCAAATCTATAAAAACTTGAATCATTTTGTGTGTTATAACCCTTCAAATTCATGGTTCTTCTAAAGTTATTTTGTTTTTATCAGCTAAGCTGCTTAACTCGTGACTGATAAAAGACCAATCCTGAAGCGGAGACACCTGGAATCAGTCATGCATGCTTTTATTACCTCTCGCCTGAACTTTGCAAACGCACGACTTGTAGGTACTCCTGTTTCTGCCTTGAACTGGCTGCAGGTCATCTAGAACGCTGTTGCTAGGTATAAAAAAACACAAAAAATTTGTTGTATATACAAAAACGTCCCACTGGCTTCCATTCAGATAGCAGCTTTTGATCCTGTAACATCTACAAAAAAATAAAAAATAAAGATTAATTCTGTGACATTAGGGATTAATTTTAGAGAAAGGGTCACGGTAAAATTTGTGATTTTTACTGTTCACCAACAAAATCACTAATTTCTCCACTTTCTTTAGATCATTTGCTGTTTGTATTGAAGTCAAAAGGTCTACTTGACCTCAGACAAGTGAATAAAATGTATTTTCACTCTCTTACTGAACTTCAAAGTATAGAAAGCAATGACAACTAATATGTTTATGCACCTGGCTGGAGCCCATTTTGCAGATGGCACAGGAACAAAAACTGCAGTTTGAATGGAAGTCGATGGGACATTTTTGTCCTCTAATTTAACAAGAGGGTAGTGGTTTTTTTCATACTGTTCCCTTGGTCTTTATTATTTATTTATTTTTTCAAATAGAATTTCCAAATTTTTCAAGAGAGAGTGCTAAATGCTTAAAACGAAAACAGAAAAAACTGCCTAAATGGACAAAAATGTCCTTAAAGATGCCCGAGGGTTAAAACCAGCCAACATGACATATCTGAAG